ATTTTCAAGCAAAACATACTGTAGTATGATTGCAAGAGTGTTTGATGATTTTGCTGGAGCAGATTATTAATCTGGTGCTCAAGGCACACAGCGCATCTAATAGTTGAGGTAAAAGCGCATGACTGTTCTTGTTATTAGTCTATTCTAAACAGTAAGTGTCATTTACTTTCTAAAAGATGACTGAGAACTAACTTGTATCTGCAAGGTGTATTTTATATGCACTAGAGAAGATACTTCTGCATACATTGTCTTGCTAAATGAGAACTGTGCTTGTTGAAGGTTTTATGCGGGGAGAAACAAACCCACCACCCGAATTTAAGGTTTCACAGAGATAACACAGTTATCCTTGTGGTGATTCCCTAGCAAAGGATTGGTGGCATTGTCCTAATCACCATGGCTGAATACAGGTCCCTTTCCTCTCTGCCTCCCAACAGGTGACTGATGCTATTTGCTACAAGCAGGTTTTAACTGAGGCACAGAGAGATCATTGCATGCAGGAGCCTGAACACACATAGTCACTTGCTTCCTCACACACAGATCTATAGATAGATCCCATTTCTAAATGGTTACATTTTCATTAGGATTGGAAACAATTTCCAGGTCCAATGGAAACAGTTTCCACATACAGCATTTTTATTGTTGGATCTTTCATTATTATTATTATTTTGAAAGGAACACATTCGTAGTTGCTGAAAAAAATAACCATGTTACTTCAACACAACAGTGCAAACTATTTGCTCATTATTCTGGTGCTTTTCTTGTAGGAATTTTGTCAAGCACTTCAGCAGCCTGATGCTAAAGTTTTTAAAAATTACTTAAAGGTAAGTTAAATTTGCATCAGTATTCCTTCTTTCACGGGTGAAGGCATTTTGTCATGGATTAAATAGGTCTTGCATGTATCTGCTTGCATTTACCATAAACTCTGAATTGGGGGGGGGGGCTGCAGCCCTCCAGATGTTCTTCAGCTCCCATCTTCCCTGACCTTACTGGCTGGGGCTGGTGGGAGTCCCAACATCTGGGAGGCTATAGATTCTCCAACCCAGTGTTAACTCTGAACAATACTGCTTGATACAGGAAACTATTATTATACCAACATAGAAACCACCTTCATGCGTTAATAATGTGAAGGGAATCCACATGACTAAGGGAAAATGAGCCACATCCTTAAACAGATCTGGGCTGAGGTTGTAGCTTTTCACCCCTTTCCATTTTACTCATCTTTTGAATATTTTAGGTGTGTGTTTTCAATTGATAGTTTTAATGTTTCTTTTTGCTTAGAGGTTTTCTTAGTCAAGCAGTATGTAAGTTTCATTAAATAACATTTTAGGTGGCTTTGGTTAAATTACCAATTTCATATGCAGCTTACAGTATTTTATATGACTTTTCAATTTAACTATGGCCAAGATAGCTATGTTGAGAACTTGCCTTAAAAATAGCACGTGAGAAGTTGCAGAAGCATTTTATCAACTTATCTTGGAGGGTTGAAACCACCCTTAAGGCAAATAGCAGACAACATAAGCATCGTATCTATTTCCTGTCCAGGTGGGAGACTCCATTGCCAACTTACTTACTGCTCTTCATGGTGTCTAAGAAATGAGTCCTATAAGCAGAAGCCTGCTCAAGGACTTCCACTAGCACAATGGGGCTTTCCTCCCCCCACATACCCCCAAAATGGTTCTGGGAGGTTGAGGGTAACTCCCAGTTCATGTGGGAAGGAGGGGGGAGATGGCCCTGTCTGGCAAGCTGCAATACTTTCACATTTCTGTAGTGCTTTGCTGAATTCCTCCCAGGGATTTGATAGTCTCTTTGGTAGCTGCAAATGGTGCCATTTAAACCTGATTTCTGCCACTGGCAACGTACTTTTTTTATTCTTAGCTTAGTGGTACTGTTCTTCTGTGCTTTCTTATTCTCTAAAACTATATTTGCTTTCTTTTAAAAACAGGTATTCTTTCAAAGAGCAAAGCCCTAAGAGATCTACTGAAACCTTTGACTGTTTCCCCCTAATCAGGATCTCCAGATATTGATTTGTATGAATGCAAACTCCTGTGCCATTCAGGCTTACTTTTTCTTTTGGAAGACATTGCTCTGTGCTTCAATCAGTATGTGTATTAGCCTTTTGGTGTAAAAGTGCAAATGAAATGCCCTACATTGTGTTGGTTGATGCACATGCGGCGCGTGGGCAACACGTCTTGCCTGCCTGCCTACTCAAAAACACTCTGATAATTGTGTGCTGTAATTAGTACAGCAAAAACAAAAATCCTTTTTTATTTTGAAATTTAAAAAAAATGTATAAATTCCTTCCAAGCCCATAGGAATGGTTATAAATTGTGTACATTTTTAAATACTGAGTAAGATATTTGCATATTAGAAATGAAATTCATTTGTTCATGCACGGTGATATAAAATAAAGCAATCAAACTTGGTTTTGTAGATAGATGTTTCATTGGAGCGGTCTTAATGCTGAAGTGTATGCTACAAAACAGTTATTAATGGATCAGATTTACAAGAAGATCTGGTTCTACATTTTTATACAGAAAAATAAATTTTATTCAATGAAATCCACAAGTTCTCATGGGTCATTGGTTGTTTTCTTGGCATCTGTGGTTAAATAATGGAAGGCTGTGTCTGTGCTATACACACTACATAGACTGGTCTTTTTGGGGGATCTTACCCCCCCCCCCAAAAAAAAAATCATGACTGAGCAGATCTTTTGTGTTGTTTACAAGTTTCTTGTACCCCTGGGGAAGTCTCAGCATACGGCTCAATGGAGTTTTCTTCTATTATCCCTGACAATCCCATGACCACACACAAGTATAGGCACTGCAGTAACTTCTAGGGGGAAGTGGTCTTGCTGAGATAGGTATATGAGAATGTCAAGCTATGGCTGGTGAACTGCACTGTGCTACATGCTTATCTCCGTAAAATCCCATCTTGTAATTCTTAGAGGACAAACCACAGGATACTAGTGTAATAGTCCTCTCCTCCTTGAGTTGCCATGAAGATCTTCAGAGGCACACCATCTCTGATAACGGATGTACCATAATAGTCACCATGCCAAAAAGCCACTTCGTGATGTCGTAGTAGGTCATGGGTAGGAAAACTAAGGCCCGGGGGCCAGATCTGGCCCAATCACCTTCTAAATCCAGCCCGCGTATGGTCCGGGAATCAGCGTGTTTTTACATGAGTAGAATGTGTCCTTTTATTTAAAATGCATCTCTGGGTTATTTGTGGGGCATGGGAATTCGTTCATTTCCCCCAAAAAAATATAGTCCGGCCCCCCACAAGGTCTGAGGGACAGTGGACCGGCCCCCTGCTGAAAAAGTTTGCTCACCCGTCATAGGTGATTACAAAATAAAGTTGTTATGGACATCACACTTTCTAAAGTACAAGTCCCCACTTTTTGTATCCTCATCACTGAGCTGCCCTTTTGAGACCCTATCAGTAGTTAGCATTGAACTGAGATTCCAATGTTTCGTGTTGTAACTGCCCGTGTTTCAGAACTTTGAAACAGCAGTGACAAGTGCATTAATACACTCCAGTGCTAGGTTTAATTTGAGCACTATTTAAAACATTGGGCAAAATATTCCTGCATTCCAGAGAGTTGGACAAGATGACCCTCATGGTCCTTTCCAATTCTATTGATTCTACATATCGCTTGCCTTTCCACAAAACAAGTTCGCGAGCTCATTTGACATGCACACAGATGCTGCCTGCTAAGTTTTTGTCAGGCAGGTGAATTTGCTGAAATCTACGATTGCCTTCTTTGAGAAGGGTAAATAGTTCTGTTCCTGCTCATTTACTGGCAGTTTCTTTCATGGTGAAACAATCGGAAATATTGTTTGTGAATGCCTGTCACTTGCATCCAACTATATATCTGGTCTTTGCAAAACTTGCTCACAACATCTGCACTTTATATCCTTCCACCCTGGCCAGCCCCTTCCATTTCTCCGTTAGACGCAATTCCGTTCTGAACTGCGCCCTGCAGTTCAAGCTATGGCAACTGCAGGCCTAACTTGCAGGCTTATCCATATGAGACATTGTTTTGGTAAGAACCCTGCACCTCATTATGTATCTAAGTTGTTATCTCCTGCCCTTAAGCCTCCAAGGAACTCAGCAAGGCGTCCGTGAGGCCTCCTTTATCCTCACAACAACCCTATGAGGTACGTTAGGCTGAGATCATGGGAGCCAACTCGTAGGGGCCAAAGTCCCTTCACTCCTCTCCCCCCAAAAAATATTTGAGGGGGCTGGGGGGGCACCAAGTGGATGGGCATTGCCATTCAAATGGTTTGTGTGCACCATGTCTTGTGATTGGTTGTGCAAAGGAAGAATGGATACAAAAACTTAAGGAATATGCAGAAATGGCGAAACTTACTGGAAGAATAAATCAAGATAACAAAATGTTTTGTAAAAGAACAGAAAGGGTTTATTGAATATTTACAGATAAATTGTAAATAAGATAAAAACATTGGCAGGAACATTGTAATAACCTGCAGCTTCATAAGAGTACATATTAAAAGATGAATAAATGAGAAAAATTGAGCACTATTTCTGGGATAGCGGAGTCTGTAACCTGAAGCGTATGTAACCTGAGGTACCACTGTATTAAAAATAAATGTAAGGAACCACAGAAAGAGGGGGATGGAAGTCAGGTTTGGAAATGTCAAAATGATCAGTGAAATGTATAAATCTGAAAAGTATAAATAAAAATTTAAAAAAAGATTGTGCAGGGCCGCCCCCACCCAATTTTTTGAATTGAAGTTGGCTGACCCCAGGATGCACCGCCGAGAGCCTTCAGCAGCACAACATTTGCGAAAATGTCTCCGCCTCCCATTGAGCCCTTTGGGCCTGTCCTATTTCCACGAAGGCTGCAGCAGGGGCTGGGCGCGCCTTACTCCCGAGTAAACCTGCTTCCTGCCTCGCCCGGCAGCAAGCAGGCAGGCAGGCAAGCGCGTGAGCCCCGGGACCTTCCCGCCTCGCCCGGGTCCTTTCGCACGGAGCTGCCCCGCCTCCGAAGCGTCAGGAAGCCGGAAGCAGGCGAGCGGGAGCCGGACGAGGGAGGCTGCTCGGCGGGCCGCGCCGATTGCCAGGAGCGGGGCTTCTTCGGCCGGGGGCTGCTTCCCGCGCTCGCTGTCGGAAGGGGCCTGTCGAGGGGACCCAGGTGAGGCGACGCGGGCCCCGGCGCGGGTGGAGGGGAGGGGCGCGCGCAGGGAAGAGGCGAAGCCGGCGGGGAACGTGGCTGCCTGGCTTTCGTTTTCGCCCAGGCGAGCGAGTGACGAGGCTTCGGCCAGCCTTTCTGCAGGCCCGACGGCAGCGGGGATTTCCCAGCACTGCCCTGCTCTGGTGCAACCCTCCGGAGAGGGGCGCTTCTAAACAGAGGCGACCCCTGTGCATCGCACGCAGAGCGACCCGGGAGCCGGGTTCGAATCCTGAGCCTTCCCTCCTTGCGGCTGCCCGGCGTCTTTGCTCCTTTTGCCTTCTGAACATTTCGCCCTCTGAGCTGCGCAGTCTTCTCGACGTGCCCAACGAGGAGCCAGGCCCGACGTGTGTGCATATCTAAAAGATCCAGGAGCTAAAATTTATAATTTGGCAGAATATTCGGACTACATGATATGTATTTGTGTAATTTGGAATATTTAATGTGATTGGATTGGATTGTTAAAATGGAAAATTTAATAAAAAGCATTTAAAAAATAAAATAAAAGATCCAGGAACCTCTGTTGGGCATCTAGCCGGCCCTCCTTGACTTTTCGGGGACTTGGTGGCGCTGCTGTAACCTTCCTCTTGTTCTCCTCCACCCATCACCCCGCTGACATTTTCTTTAGATGGCAGGTGTCACATTGTAGCTCAATCGGTAGAGCATCAGACTCTTTGTCTTAGGGCGGTGGGTTCGAGCCCCACGTTGGGCAAGAATTCTTCCTGCGTCGCCGGGGGTTGGGCTAGATGACCCTTGGGACCCCTTCCAACTCTACAATTCCGTGATTCCTTCCTCCATCTCTTAACCGAGCACCCCAGATATTGTCCTCCTGCCCCTCATGACCTAGCACTTACTTACTAGGGTGTATTCACACAGATACACATTTATAACAGGATCGCTTGTGTGTAGCAGCATTCGCCGTGGATCAATCACCAGAAAGGTTTTCTGTTTCCTGGAATGCAAACATAATGTTTGGCAATGGAGATCCCCCTATGGGCTCAACTGTGAGGTGTTGGGTGATTTGCATATTTCTAATTGGAGAGCTTGTGTACAGAGTAGCGGCTTTCTCTGATTGCGCATGGAAGCGGAAGTTTCCTATTGCCCGAGTGCAGTCATAACATTTTGGCAGTAAAGATCATTTATGGGCTCAGCTGTGGAGCATTGGGTGATTTGCAGATCAGTGGCCAGCGTTACATAGTTTCTTGACGGGTTTGTTGCCTTAGATTCAGCTTTCACCCTCTCACAAATAGACTTAGGCCATTCAATGTTGACTTTTCTTTTGTATATCTTAATGAAATAATCTAGAACTTGGTGTTGCTGCAGGACTCTTAACGCCCATTGTTCCAGATCATTGCCTGGTACTGATGAGAGTTATTGTTGTTTATTCAGTTTACATACCGGCCTATACTTGCAGGTCTCAGGGTGGTTCACAATGTAAATTCACAATATAAAATCACAAAACAGCTGGAGTGATGCAGGTCCCCCCCCCCCGTCAGGGGGCTGGTGTCAAAGACTTAATTCCTGTTCCTCCTTACTTGAGAGTAAGCCCCATGTGAAGTCACCTGGGGTTCAAAATAAATATGCATATGATTGTGCTGATAGGCTCATTGGTTAGTCGTGAGAATTAGCTTCTGTTCCATGAAAAGGTAAATATGATGACTTTGCTTCATCAGCTGGCTACAGAATGGGGAAGGAAGAATAAGGCTGCGATAATGTACATATGTATGTATGTATACATGCATGCATGTTTATGTGAAATTTCTTTCTCATCTTTCCTTCAAGGAGCTCAAGGTAATGTACATTGTGTGCTCACCAAGCCCCATTTTATCTTCCTTGTTGTGGGATAAATGAAGGAAAATGAGTTTTATTCTTAAGAAAGGTATGGTGAGGATGACCATGCCTGCCTTAAGACCAATTCTGCGAACAAAGAGGTTCAAAGGAGCCCCAAGGAGGGCCCCTTACAGAACTGTTTACAACCTGAGTTGTAAATGTCATACAGATTTGTAGTTCAGAGGTGAGCCGAGATAACAAGGAGAAATAGCAGATGATAGTTTAAGCACCAGTATGCATGCTCAAATGCTTCATGAATATTATAAAACACACCCCTATTGTAAAAACCTGCTAATTTGAATGGACATAGGATATATGTTATTGTTGGGGGTACCTGTTTTCCATGTTCAGTTTAGAAGCAGACATGATGTAGGCGGATCAGGAAGCCTGTAAACTGCAATTTCTTAACCAATAGGAATTGTACTAGGGATATTGAACGGTCTTAGGGTATAAATTATCTGTGATGTGAACTGGAATGTGCAATCCCCTCTTTCCAGCAGGAGCTGCTGGGGGGGCGGAGTTCTTTGCCCACAGTACTGTGTCGACCTACAATAAATCTGCTTATGCTTGATCGTGGTGTAGACTCCTTCTTTCAGAGGGAAATTTGAATCCCTCTGGGAAAGATCCCTGGGACAGATTTGTCCAATACTTGTGATGTAGGCTAGGTTGGTAGATTGCAACTTGTCAGCTGGAAATTCTTTGAAGGAGAAAGTGTGCTTTGAAGGTACAGTGTGTATTCAGCAATGGTCTGATACTCTTCTATACCAAGCTGGATCTATGATGTCAAGGGGCATGCTTCTGAGCACATCTGCATAGAATTTCACCGTATAGATTGTAAAGTTCTTTGCAAGTGGGCAGTAGTATAAGGTAAAGGGACCCCTGACCATTAGGTCCAGTCGTGGCCGACTGGGGTTGCGGTGCTCATCTCGCTTTATTGGCCGAGGGAGCCGGCGTACAGCTTATGGGTCATGTGGCCAGCAGGACTAAGCCGCTTCTGGCGAACCAGAGCAGCACACGGAAACGCTGTTTACCTTCCCGCCGGAGTGGTACCTATTTATCTACTTGCACTTTGACGTGCTTTCGAACTGCTAAGTTGGCAGGAGCAGGGACCGAGCAACGGGAGCTCACCCCATCACAGGGATTCAAACTGTCAACCTTCTGATCAGCAAGTCCTAGGCTCTGTGGTTTAACCCACAGGGCTACCTTTGTCCCTGGGCAGTAGTATAGTGGTGATTATTTATAGTAACAATACACTAACCCTTCTATTATGTCAACTTTGATGAAGAAGGAAGTGCATCTTGAAAATCAATCAAATACATTTTTAAAAGGAGGAGGAGGAAGAGGTGTATCATAATGAACCGCAATTGCTGCTAAGCTATTTCAAATTGAAGCCATATAAGAAGGGGGAAAAAACCTTTTTGGATTTATAAATCTCTGTAAATGCTTTTTAAAAAAGAAATCTGCAAGCTGCATTGCTAGAGACAGATGGATGCAAGGACAAGGCCTGCCTGTTTCCAGCAGGAGATTGCATGCAAAGCTATAGATCAAGAAAGGGCTGAAAAGTCTGTGGCCGCTTTTACAGGAGAATAGAAAGAGCAATCAATCAAAGTTCTACCTGTTGCACCTCTTTTCCCTGTTGGAGTTTGGTAAATATATTGCGGCATGCTTGCAGAAAGAAATAGTCTTGTAAAACCTTTGGTTGAAGCGATAAAGAAAACATAAGGTTTATTACTCAGGGTAAATGTTAGCTCACACTACAACTGACTTGAATTACGTAAATAAACTTGGAGGAGAACCATTAAGCTACCTAAACAGGACAGGTGGGGAGAAGCAAGCCAATCTACCCAAACATGGGTAGATTTTTTCCTTCAGTCTCTGCTTTGCTGTTCTTCTCCTACGTCTTATCTCAGGGGTCAGCAACCTTTTATCAGCCGGGGGCCAGTCCACCGTCCCTCAGACCATGTGGTGGGCCGGACTATATTGGGGGGGGAATGAATGAATTCCTATGCCCCACAAATAACCCAGAGATGCATTTTAAATAAAAGCACACATTCTACTCATGTAAAACACGCTGATTCCCGGACCATCCACGGGCCGGATTGAGAAAGCGATTGGGCCGCATCTGGCCCCTGGGCCTTAGGTTGCCTACCCCTGACTTATCTCAATTGCTGATTCAGTGGTAACCATTCTTAAGACTTTCAGAGGCAGGCTGGGTTGTGACTGTTCGATTAGCTAGCTTCATCAAGCAAGGAGAACCATTGCCAATTCTCTCGTGTGTTTCTTAATTCAGCGAGAAGGATCCATGTTGGAATTGCCTTGTCCCCATTCTCACTTTTGATAGGTTTCTGCAAGTGTTAAATCTCTATAAGCATCCCAGTCTGCTACTTGACACCTTGCAAATAAGTGTGCCGCTCTTGGCGCATAGGAGACAAAATGGGCAGAAAGCTGGAAAAGAAAATCAAAAGAGATAGAAATAAAAGGAGCCCTAGCATGGAAGGCTAGTTGTGAATATATCATAGAAAATGAATTAAGCTGGTAAGAAAGGATCAGAATGGAGTTAATATGAATGTAGTCTTGCTTTGAATTTTACATGGGCAGTTACAATATCAATACTGATATTGTGAAGCAATATTGTGATAATGTTTTGGAGTGTGGATCCCATTGGTAACATAATTTCCATGGTCACTTGTACAGTTGTATCATCTTTTGGCAGACTTTACACTTAAATGTGAACAACTTGACTAATTTTGAAAACAAGTGTAGAAAATGATAAAAATGACTAAATTTGAAAACAAATGTAGAAAATGATAAAAATGACTACCGTATTTTTCGCACCATAGGACACACTTTCTCCCTCCTAAAAAGCAAGGGAAAATGTGTGTGCGTCCTATGGAGCGAATGCAGGGGGGAGGCAGGCGGGAAAAGCCCCCAAGAGCTCCGTGCGTTCTTGCGGGCTTTTCCACAGGAGGGATAAGGGACTGACTGGCTGCATCAGTCCCTTCTCCCACCTGCCAGAAGAAAGCCGTGATCTCTTTAAAGGGGTTGCGCGGCTTCTGCGGGCTTTTGGGAGAGGTGAGGGAATCCCCCCACCTCCCAGGAATGCCAGGGAAGCCCTGTGCAGCGTCTCCCGGCAAGGAGAGGCTGCACGGGGCTAAAGGGGAAGCCAAAACAGCGAGTGGGATCCATCCCGCTCGCTGCCTTGGCTTCTTCCATAGCTGCGCGCAACCCCTCTGGCAAGGAGAGGCTGCACGGGGCTATGGCTTCTTTAGCCCTGCGCAGCGTCTCCCGGCAAGGAGAGGTTGCGCGGGGCTAAAGAGGAAGCCAAAACAGCGAGCGGGATCCATCCTGCTCACTGCCTTGGCTTGTGCCATAGCCGAGCGCAACCCCTCTGGTAGGGAGAGGTTGTGCGCAGCCTATACGCTGCTCTTTGGGGCTGGGGGGGAAGATTTTTTTTCTTGATTTCCCCCCCTAAAAACTGGGTGCGCCCTATGGTCCGGTGCGCCCTATGGTGCGAAAAATACGGTAATTTTGAAAACAAATGTAGAAAATGATAAAAATCCTATGGGGACTGAAAACAACACATAGAGTTCTGTTATTGGCCTCCATTTTATTCTGCATCCATATTCAGAAGTCAGAAATAAACCTTTCAAACTCCATTTCCAATAATAGGTTTGAACTAGAATTACTTCATCCTGTGGTTTCCAGGATTTCAGTGAAAAGGAATTTCTGAAACTATTCTGGCTAATCTTCCTAGGGTACTTCCCTTAGGTTTTGAATCAGACATGAAACTTTTGTCTACTATCACATGCACTGTGGCGATTAACTCCGGAGTATCTATTTCCCTATTCAGATCAAACAAGAATTGCCCAATCAGGAGCAAAAATGCAAAGCACTTCGAATTATCTCTGGCTTCTCTCGGACATTCTGGGACAAGGAGCTACTGCAAATGTTTTTCGTGGACGACACAAGGTTTGTATAGAGACAAAGTTCTAGCTGTCTGCTGGAAAGGCTTTTATACGATCTTAAAGTAGTCTCTGTTGTCATTGTAAAATTAAATGGGATGGGTTTTTTTCTTTTATGAAATGAATATACAATGAGCAGTGCAAAATACTGGAAATACAGGAGGCATGACTAAGAGGGTCTAATTATAATACCCTTTTCACATGTAACATCTTGGCTCATGAAATATAAAAGATTTATCATACTGTAGAGTACAAGAAAATCTTACTGGAGATAACTGAAATCATATCCCTCCTTAATCTGAAGGTAAAGTGCTAGTTAGTAATTAGCAAGTTATTCACACTGGAACCTTTAGAAAATGACATTTATTCCTTTTTTGTTTGGGTATTGAAGTAACAGCGTTTAATCCAACATGGCATGAATGGGTTTTCTTTCCTCCCACTGTAAACCCCTGCAATACCAAGTCTGCTCTGGAAGGGCCCCAAATCCTGGAAATCCCATTCCGCAAGTGGAAATTTTATTCACTCATATATGGACACCTTGCTTGCCGATCGGAAGGTCGGTGGTTCGAATCCCCGCTGTGGGGTGCGCTCCCGCTGCTCGGTCCCAGCGCCTGCCAACCTAGCAGTTTGAAAGCACCCCCGGGTGCAAGTAGATAAATAGGGACCGCTTTATAGCGGGAAGGTAAACGGCGTTTCCGTGTGCGGCTCTGGCTCGCCAGAGCAGCTTTGTCACGCTGGCCACGTGACCCGGAAGTGTCTCCGGACAGCGCTGGCCCACGGCCTCTTGAGTGAGATGGGCGCACAACCCCAGAGTCTGTCAAGACTGGCCCGTATGGGCAGGGGTACCTTTACCTTTACCTTTATATGGACACCCTTGGATTCAACACATGCATTTTGAAGTTTTCTGTCATCTTTCATAGTTACCAAGTATTTAAAAACAAGCACATCAAACTTCCTTTCCCCACTTCTCTCTCTTTTTCCCTTCCCACATGCCCCCCCAAATCTTCTCTGGGTTTTTGCCCAATCCTCCTGAGGAAAGGGGGCGCGGGTGGCGCTGTGGGTTAAACCACAGAGCCTAGGGCTTGCCAATCAGAAGGTCGGCAGTTCAAATCCCTCCTACGGGGTGAGCTCCCGTTGCTCAGTCCCTGCTCCTGCCAACCTAGCAGTTCGAAAGCACGTCAAGTGCAAGTAGATAAATAGGTAGGAAGGTAAACGGCGTTTCCGTGCACTGCTCTGGTTCTCCAGAAGCGGCTTAGTCATGCTGGCCACATGACCCAGAAGCTGTACGCCGGCTCCCTCGGCCAATAAAGCGAGATGAGCGCTGCAACCCCAGAGTCAGACACGACTGGACCTAATGGTCAAGGGTTCCTTTACCTTTACCTGAGGAAAGAAAGCAGAAGTTCCATTGTGGCCACAGAAATTGTTCCATGTGTGCATTGAGTTTGTTGGATACAACTCAAAGTGTAAACCCCTCCCCCCCCCACATTATTTTTAAAACAAACTCACATACATGTTTATTCAGAAGTAAATCCCACTGTGTTGTGGGTTTTTATTTTATTTTATTCATATGCATAGTATATTTTTATAGTTTTGTAATGAATGCAGGAACAAGGTTTTTATACCCTAGTCAATTGTGTGAAATGCTTTTTCTTTTTTAAAAAACACTCTCTATTTGTTTTACAGAAAACAGGAGACTTGTATGCCGTAAAAGTGTTCAATAACTTTAGCTTCCTTCGTCCCGTGGATGTTCAGATGAGAGAGTTTGAAGTGTTGAAGAAATTGAATCACAAGAACATTGTCAAATTATTTGCCATAGAAGAAGAGGTATTTTTAAAAAACTATTGCTCTGGTAGCCTACTGAGCATTGGCATTGATTTATTATTTTATTTCGGGTTCCAGTGATCAGAATGCCTTTTCTTTGATTTGAGGTTCACGGGGACAGTGTATGATTTCTGAAATGTTTTTGAACATTTATGAATGTGCCTTAGAACAGGTTGCATTGCATTATTGCATATGATGTATATAATTATGAAACATCAGTTTGGTTTTTAAAAATGGCCCTTCTTTTTTTAAGAGTCTTCCCTTAATGACTGGATTCAGTACAGAATAGAATTGCTTTCAAATAATGCTTCCAAATAATGGTGTGGCAGACACACATAAAGGAATTCATCCTTGAAGCTTTCCTTCTTAGAATTGCTCGTTATTCCTAATATCTGATGGCAATAACTAACATCAATTTCAGAAAAACTTCCAAGAAATGTGCATAGTCTCATTTGCTTTCTAAGGGGAATCAAGTATATTCTGGGCAGCTGAAAAGACTGAACTTTTGAGTGGTGGAGAAAAGAATGGACAAAAATCCTTGTAGGCAGTTTTCCATTTCTTCTCTCTTTAATTTTTAAAGACCATAAGTTGTAAATTACATTGATTTTATCTCTGTGCAAGATAATTTTATTTGCTTTTCTTTTTTAACCCATAGGAAAGGAACTTACATCTTTCTTCTTGACTAACTGTGGGTCTGGCTAAATGTTTTGGCAGTGAAGCTTTTCTGCTTTCTTTCTGGCACTGGGACTTGTTGCATGTTAACTTGCAAACCTTTCATGTTTTTCTTTTCTAGACAACCTCTAGACATAAAGTCCTTGTTATGGAATTTTGCCCATGTGGCAGTTTATATACAGTTTTAGAAGAGCCAGCTAATGCCTACGGGTTGCCAGAAGCAGAATTCTTAATTGTATTGAGAGATGTTGGTAGGTGGAAGTTGATTCCTTATGTACTTTAATGTCACATAATGGGCTTACCGTATTTTTCGCTCTATAAGACACACTTTCCTCCCTCCTAAAAAGTAAGGGGAAATGTGTGTGTGTGTTATGGAGTGAATGCAGGCGGGAGGCTCTGCTCAACGCTCCCTTTAAAGAGCCGTGTGGAGCTTGTGTGCGGCTCTTGGGGGCTGTTCCCCGAGGAGGGAGAAGGGCTGCCTTTCTCCCTCCTTGGGGAAAAGCCCCCAAGAGCTGCACACACGCTCCACGCGCTCTTTAAAGGGAGCACAGCTCTTGGGGGAGCCTTCCTCCCGCTGCCTGGGAGAGGCAGTGAGCGGCTATCCCAGAAGCCAGATCCCTCTTGCTGTTCTGGCTTCTGGGATTCAGAATATTTTTTTTCTTGTTTTCCTCCTCCAAAAACTAGGCGCGTCTTATGGTCTGGTGCATCTTATAGAGCGAAAAATACGGTACTTTGTTTATGGCACTGTCTTCGAATGTTTAGCCTAGTTAGAACGTGTTTGCATGCAGATATGGAACCATAGGATGGATGCAATCTCATTTAAGTTTGGTTTTGACGCATGCAGGTGTACTAAGCTACACAGGGGTAACTTTGCTGTTAAATGTACACATGCCACTCCCATCTATTAGACTGTGGAGTGGATAAGCTAACAGGCAGTGGTCCTCCAAGAGTGCTCACGATTCCTTCCCTTAAGGAAGGCTGGTGTGCCAGTCGCATCCTTCTTAGAGAAAACAGACTGGACCACAGTGACACATGTCTTAGTTACATCACGACTGGGCTACTGCAGTGCACTCTGCATGGCGCTCCTTTAATAATAATAATAATAATAATAATAATAATAATACTTTATTATTTATACCCTGCCCATCTGGCTGGGTTTCCCCAGCCACTCTGGGCAGCTACCAACAGAATATTAAAATACAATAGTCTGTTAAACATTAAAAGCTTCCCTAAACAGGGCTGCCTTCAGATGTCTTCTAAAAGTCTGGTAGTTGTTTTTCTCTTTGACATCTGGTGGGAGGGGGTTCCACAGGGTGGGTGCCACTACCGAGAAGGCCCTCTGCCTGGTTCCCTGTAACTTGGCTTCTCGCAGCAAGGGAACCTCCAGAAGACCCTCGGCACTGGACCTCAGTGTCTGGGCAGAATGATGGGGGTGGAGACGCTCTTTCAGGTATATTGGACCGAGGCCGTTTAGGGCTTTAAAGGTCAGCACCAACACTTTGAATTGTGCTCGGAAACGTACTTTTGATCCATGTTTGGAATCTAAAGCTGGTCCAAATGGGGCAGTTAGAACATTGACTATAGAACCATCTATCAGGATCCTGCTATTCAATTGGTGCAATTGTTTCATTGACTTTTGGTCTGATTCTATGCCTTATTCAAAGTTGCTGGTTATCACCTTGGAAGCCTTAAGCAGGGCTCCTTCCATTCATGCTGTGATGCAGCAGAAGCTCTCACTGGAGAGGAGGAGTAGGGTAGTATTTTTTGCTAATTTCTCTTTTCCCCATGTGCCACCCTTCATGCTGTTCCCGAGCTTTCCCCAACCTTACGGGGCAGATTTCCAATGGACTGCAGGGCAAAGGTGGGAAGAGAATCAGTAGAAACCACTCTCTCCTCCTCTGCTGCTTCTGGGAAGCGAATGCCGAAAGTGGAACTCTGTTCAGTGGAACGCTCCTTTCAGTGGAAACTCATATAGAATTTCAGCCGGGATATTTGCATGCTTTCTTTCAGTGCTTATAAATACAGATTTAGAGGAATAAATCCAATAAAAATGTAACTGTCTTTTAAAATTTACATACATCTCTCTTCATTTTCCTGTGCATTTAAGTGGCTGGCATGAACCACCTTCGTGAGAATGGAATAGTGCACCGTGACATCAAGCCAGGCAATATCATGCGAGTTATAGGTGAAGATGGTCAATCTGTTTATAAACTGACAGATTTCGGGGCTGCTAGGGAGCTGGATGATGATGAACAATTTGTCTCCCTCTACGGTACAGAAGAATACTTGGTAAACCTACACACATTTTATTTTTTTCTTAGCCTTATTTGTGTAATCTGTTGATACTTGGGGCAAACATCTTAGCAACAGCCTGCATGGCTGCTAGCAGAATCTGAGTTGTGAATTCATTGATCAGCAACATATTGTGATGGAGATGCGAGTGGGCATCGGAGGAGGGAGGGAACAAAAGAGGGACAGAGGCCAGTTTTGTCCATGGCACACATTCAAAGGCACATTCAAGGGTAACGTCAACCTTTATTGAATGTAACAATTGGAAAGTTTGGACACTGTAAGGGTATCAGGGGGTTGCTCAAGAGCAATCAGGCAAATGCCTCCCTGGTCTGTTGTAAAGCCTTGTTATTGGTGCCAAAAAAACCTTCACCATGCAGAGCGCCACTATTCCGTGGCTCGCTCATTCACTGGCAGAATCTGAGAGTGGGCAGTCCTTAAACCTTCCCCAGCAAAGTAGTTTCTTGACGCCCAGTCTGCGCTTCCCCTCTCTGCACGGAAGCCTACTGCGCAAGGAGGGCATGGGTAATGGAGGACGTCTCTCCTCCCCTCTTTGCTCAGGCAAGGTGTCCTGGCACTGCCTTGCCTCCTCTGAGCCCTGAAGCTCCTCTCCACTGGAGGCGGTGTTACTCTCCTCTGCTGAGGAGGTGCTGCTTCCCACGATCTTTGGGGGCTCTCTGTAATCCATCTGGCTTTTCCCCTTTCGCCCCTGAGTCGATGGCAGTTCCCTGACAGACACGTAGTACGTTGTGCCGCTTGCTGATGAAGCAATTTATTCTAATATTGCTTCTCTTTGTCCCTTACTCCTTTAGCATCCCGATATGTACGAACGAGCAGTATTGAGAAAAGAACATCAGAAAAAATACGGGGCAACGGTTGATTTGTGGAGCATAGGGGTGACATTTTACCACGCTGCAACTGGAAGTTTACCCTTTCGACCTTTCGAAGGGCCTCGTAGAAACAAGGAAGTGATGTAGGTAATTTAGAGGAAATGCTTTATCCACAAATTATGCTATCAAATAAAAAATAGAAAACGAATACGTAAGAATTGAGGGAATAAAAATCTTGTGTGATTTTGGTAAACTCTTGAATACCTAACACTGGGTTTACATGTACTGCCACTTCCTCATTCTTTACCAGCTGTAGTGAATTTGTTAAATTATTGTCAAATTACTTTGCTTTTTTGCAAGCATGTAGAACTGGTTTTTTTTTTATTCTAGTTGTGTTGAGAGCAGATTTGATTTGGCATCTTCATCAAAGCATGAGAACTGTGTTTGGAATATATGTGTTAACACCCTGCAGGAAATAACTTGCTAGAAGCCACATGGGCAACATAGAGAGTGCTCTTGTGCTTCAGCCCTGCTTGTCGGTTTTCCACAGGCATTTGGTTGGCCACTGTGAGTACAGGATGCTGGACTGAATAGGCCATTGGCCTGATCCAGCAGACAAGCTCTCCTTATATTCTTACCTTGTTTCCAAAGTTGTGGTCATCAATTAAAAGAAGGCAACTTAGGGCAGATCCACTTAGTAGCATCCCAAGTGGAAGTAGTTCCTGGCTTGGTGCAGACTGTTGCAGAAGAGCCAGCAGGAGACTTTGTAAAACATGGACATAGCACAAGTGTGTCTCCTGAGATATTATATTAGACCTTGTCGCAAACGTAAGCGCACCAAGGATTTCAGTTCTCTTTTGTCCCGTAATAATCTTCCACCAACTTGTGGGTTGGGCCTTCCCCTCATCCCTAGATCCAACCCATACATTCAGCTTCCAGATGAAAACTTCCAAAAAGTGTCACTCATGGCAGCAACTCACATGGCAACCTTAATATAATTTAAAGCCATGCAGGATTTTCACATCAGCAGTGCCTGTCATTCAGAATCTGGGAGTGACATTTATGCAGTAGTCATGCCACTGAATTACCGTATTTTTTGCTCTATAAGACTCACTTTTTCCCTCCTAAAAAGTAAGGGGAAATGTGTGTGCGTCTTATGGAGCAAATGCAGGCTGCACAGCTATCACAGAAGCCAGAACAGCAAGAGAGCATCCCTCTTGCTGTTCTGGCTTCTGGGATTCAGAATATTTTTTCTTCTTGTTTTCCTCCTCCGAAAGCTAGGTGTGTCTTATGGTCTGGTGCGTCTTATAGAGCGAAAAATACGGTGCGCATTATCGTGTCTTTTAGTATGAGAGAGAATATGGTAAATCATTAGCCATACCTGCGAATTGATCTGCTTTGAGTGCCAACTTGCTTAAGCAAGTTAGAGAAAGCAAGCCAATGAATTGGATCCAGAGTTCTGCTTAGGGGAACTCGGCTTAAGGGATGCTCCTGTTGGAGTATGCTTTTCTTGCTGAGTCTTCCTTCCTTATGTACCACCCAATAAGCTGCTCCAAAGGGTTAGAGGGCTCTCTGGAAAAGTGAGGGAGGTGTCATTAGGGACTGCCTGGGGAAGAAGGACCTTGCAAAAATTTATCAGGAAAGACACAAGCTTTCTTCATCCACAATTTTTAATGAAATACTTCTGTTTGTTTTATACAGATACTATACCTCTAGTCCAATAATCATGTATCATTATTATTATTTAAATGCTAATGATTGATTGCTGTTTCTAATAACTAATAGTTCTGGTGGCATGTTCTATTCCCTCTCCTCCCCCCCCCCAAATATGAATTTGTCTCAGATCTTTATACAACATAAGTTACTTCACATTCCTGAGAAAAGATTCTGGAAAACTCTTGTGCGTTGGAAATTTGCCTGTTAACACAGTGTTAACTGAGCAGTAATCTGGTCCAAGGTCACAAACAGATAATTCCTATTAAGATTATGATTAAGCTTTTAAAGAAATTCTTATGTTTTCAAATGACTGCACTTTACCTTTTAATATTCCAAAGGTATAAAATTATAACTGGAAAGCTTTCCGGTGCAATATCTGGAGTACAAAAAGCAGAAAATGGCCCCATTGAATGGAGTCGTGACATGCCTGTTTCCTGCAGTCTTTCAAAGTAAGTTCATCAAATTGCTGACTCACTTAAGTAACTGGATGCTGAGTGTATTTTCTCCCTCTGCTTTCCTTAGCTGATATCAGGCGTATTTCACTTCATTTGTGTTGGTATTAGAAACCATTTTTGTGCATATAGAACTTTTGCTTTCCCACACAGGCTATTTTATTGCCACTGTTTTATTGCCCAAGGTTGTTATTTAGAAAGGTGTTATGATTAAAAGTTAAATATTAGAGCTCAGACAAATTGGTGTAGGTGAAACATAGATGAAAATAAGAAGAAGAAGGGGAGGAGAAAGAAGAGTTTGGATTTGATACCCAGCTTTATCACTATCCTAAGGGGACCCGGGTGGCGCTGTGGGTTAAACCACAGAGCCTAGGACTTGCCGATCAGAACGTCGGCGGTTCGAATCCCCGCGACGGGGTGAGCGCCCGTTACTCGGTCCCAGCTCCTGCCAACCTAGCAGTTCAAAAGCACGTCAAAGTGCAAGTAGATAAATAGGTACCGCTCTGGCGGGAAGGTGAACCGCGTTTCTGTGCACTGCTCTGGTTCACCAGAAGCAGCTTAGTCATGCTGGCCACATGACCTGGAAGCTGTACGCCGGCTCCCTTGGCCAATAAAGCGAGATGAGCGCCGCAATCCCAGAGTTGGTCATGACTGGACCTAATGGTCAGGGGTCCCTTTACCTTTAAGAAGATGCTAGCACTGAGCAAGGGGTTTGGACTAGTTCACCTCCAATAACTCTTTCACATTCATGATCGTGATACCATATCCCTCTTTCATGTTGCTGCCAAGATTGCTAAGAAACAACTTCTTCTTGGAAACCCAAGGTTTTGGGGCTTTTTGTTCATTATGCTTCAGTTGTTGATGATATATCACTGCCCCAACTTAGAGCATGGTTAGACTCAATATAGATATGTCTGGCAGTAACCATGGTTCATTGCTTTAATCCTGGTTAAGATCCTAACTAGTGAAGCTAAGGTTCCGTTTGTACAGCTGAAGTCTCTTTTTTCTAGCTTAGGAGTTGGGGAAACAGCTGTAACCATCTGTGCCTTGTAAGGTACGGATGAAATGCTTAAATCAGCACAAACTGTGGCTTGCAAACCATAGTTTCACATCCTGGCTTGTGGCCCATCCTCATCCATGGTTCAGCTATTTAGTTGCAACACTTAACCAGGAAAGCAAAATGTATGGTCCACGTCGAGTTTTATTTGGTAGCTAAACCCATGAATTTCAATAGAACTTGCTTTCAAATAAGTGCCCTAAGGTTTGCTGCCTTAGAATTATAGTTTGTTTTCACATTTGAATCTGCTGGTGGATTTCCTTTTCTTTTCTGCCTTTGGGTTGTCGCTGCATATTCTGCAATACATTGCTCCCCCCTATTAAATTACTATGAGAAATTCCAGAAATGATGTACCCAAGTGAAGAAAATTCTCTTGCAATATAGGCGCAAAGGCATTTCATGCATGAATCCTGCAATATAACATAGTGTGATGGGCATGTGTTCATCAAACGTCTCTCTCGTTGCTGCCACCAACTGTCCCACCACTAACAGAAAATAGTTGACACCCTTCGTACTGTACAAAATACTGATTAATTAGATGATCTTTACCTAGCAAGCGTTGAAGAAATATCTCAGTGGGTAATGTCTTCCCTGCTTCATAGAGGATATGAGTAATCATTGACCAGTCAGATCCTAGGCAAGACAGCCCAGAGAGTTTTATGCTGTTGGCAGTGCTGTTATACATACACAAAAACCAGCAGATTCAAGAGTGGGCAGAAGGAATGTCATACTTACTCAGAATTAAAAACAAATGTGTTTATTTTTCTATTTTAGGGGCCTGCAAGTACTACTCACGCCCGTTCTTGCAAATATTCTTGAAGCAGATCAGGAGAAGTGCTGGGGATTTGATCAGTTTTTTGCAGAGACGAGCGATATACTCCACCGAATAATTATTCATGTTTTCTCTCTGCAACAAATGACTGCACACAAAATTTATATTCACATCCATAATAAGTAAGTATTTCAGCATTTTCATATCTTTATTCTTACGTGACATTTCAAACTGATAGGATCAGGTTACCTCTGAATAGAACAGTTTTGCTTATTAACTCTGAATTCTTTCACCTTCACTCTGTCTTTATTACTGCATTAGCAGCCATTTTTTAAAATGTATTTCTTCTTCTTCTTTTTAAACAGTGCTGCCATGTTTCATGATTTGGTCTACAAACAGACAAAAATAGCTTCAGTTAATCAAGAACTGATATATGAAGGCCGGCGTTTAGTCCTAGAGCCCAGCAGATTGGCGCAATCTTTCCCCAGAACCACTGAAGAAAATCCCATAATCGTCGTGAGCAGGGAGGCCTGTGAAAATCACAGGATTACTCTATGACGAAAGTATGATGGAGTCTCTTGTTTTTTTTTCCTTTTCTTTTTTAATGGCCGACTTATTTGAACTGAATTGTTATTACTTGATATTATTATTATTATTTTAAACACGTTACTTTGTTGGATCCTGTTTCGAACATCAGCCCTCTTTGTGACCAAATAAGTTACTTTTTTAAAAACTGTGAGCAAGTAATTGGTTTGCTATCCTGGAAAATCATGTGAGGAAGGGTGGAATAGAAATTTAAGAAATAAAGCAATCCTAATCATAATTTTTCTTTTATATTCTGAATTTGTTTGAGTACTATTTGCTTATTTTTTTAAAAAATACTTCTGTTCTAGTTCTGCTTCCAAAGGTCCATCAACGGTATGACTTAGATACTGATGCAAGCATGGCAAAAGTGAGTATCTCTTCATATTTGTGTCATGGGACTATTTCCTAGAAGGGAGATACATGTATTGGTACTGAACTTGGATATGGCAGAACACCCGATAAGCCCCTGTTCTAGATGGGAGTCTCCCCTTCAGCCCAAATATTCTACCCCAACTTTAATATACAGTATCCTGCCTATCAGGTAGTATCTTGAGTTCCTTGCTGCCTTTGTTACCCTTTGTCCCAACCCAATATCCCCAAATCTCTAAAGAGTATGTGCTCCTTTTGCACCTCACAGATGTCTAGGAAGTCCAAACTGTAAAACTAAAGTTTAGAAACCTCAAACTTTAATTCTGTCTTGGTGATAAGTGTGTTGCTCAGTATTCCCACCAGCCTTTTCATGATTTAGCTCCCTAAAAATATGCTTCTTTTACTCCTACAGTTTTTATCGCAGTCTGTTTGCTTGTGACAAACTGTAGTGTATGCTGCTCACACCTTTCTTTGGTCTTCCAGGCGGTTACAGGGGTTGTTTGTTACGCCTGCAGAGTTGCCCATGCTTTACTGCTGTACCAGGAACTGATGCGGAAGGGAATCAGATGGTTAATGTGAGTGGCGCTGTGATTTGCTTGATCTGGCAGAGTGAATCATTTTTCTGGCACTTACTGACCCCGGGTATTCCAAGTGCCAGTTACAAAGGTGGAAAGCCCCAGAGAGATCTCTGCCCAACAACTGCCATGCACACCCAGCTATAGACAAACCTGAGCTGTAATAGAATTACTGTATTTTTCGCTGCATAAGACGCACCTGACCATAAGACACACCTAGCTTTTAGAGGAGGATAGGGGGAAAGCCCTGTTTTCGGGGGGATCAGCTCACAGTTGTGCAGCTTCTTTTGCAAAGGGGAAAAGCCCCCTTTTTTGAGGATCAGCTCAAAGTGGTTGAGCTTACTTTGCAATGGGAAAAAATCCTGTTTTTATGGGGTTCAACTCACAGTTTTGCAGCTTTTTTAGGAAAGGAAAGGGAGCCGTTTCTACAGTTTCCAGACAGATAATCTAATCAGCCAGTCACATGTCGCTGGGGAAACAAACAGCCTGCAGAACATTCAACAATGGAGGCCTGGGCAAGGGGGCGGGGCCAGAAAGGGAGCCAGCGATTGACCACACATTCGCTCCATAAGATGCACAGACATTTCCCCTTATTTTTTTAGGGGGGGGGGGAGTGTGTCTTATGGAGCGAAAAATACGGTGTATCCTTTGGTGCTGCATAGGAGGTAGTTACAGCGTGACAGGCTTTCCTGTTCCTTGCAGTAAACTATTAACTTCAGTTTCTGTTAATCATCAAATTCCATCTACAAATGCAATTCTTATATGCAGGATGATGGCGTTCTAAGCTTGTTTACTCAGAAGAGGACTATCGCCCGATTAAAAGTACTTAAGAATTGTGGCCTTTGTTTACATGCAGCTGCCATTTTGCATGGAGGTTCCGTTCCCGGCTCCCCTGCGTACCAGCAGACCACGCCCTGCCCCATTATGCCCCATTCTGTCTCCGTTCTGCCCTCTCCTGGGTCCAAAAGGACCTGCAGGTCGGCAATCGTGCCAAAAATGGTCACCACCTGTTCTTAGAATATAGTACCTTTTCAGGAATAAGTTGATGTTCATTACTTATCACTTACTTCATTTATGAATCATTTCCTATGAGGCATACTGAAATGATTTACAATATACAGGGGTACCTCAGTTTTCAAATGTAATCCATTCTGGAAGACCGTTTGACTTCCGAAACGTTCAAAAACTGAGGCGCAAAGGGCAGCCTGCAAATTCAATAGAGAAAATTGAAAAAAACTCAGCGGAAGCCGTTTGACTTCCGAGGCGCGTTCGAAAACGGAAGCATTTACTTCCGGGTTTTCAGCATTCGAAACGTACCACTGTAATAACATATAAAAACAGTTAAGACAACCAACAAGAAGTTGAACGATGCATATTTATTTTCCATGGGTTGGTGGGAGTGTGTCAATTTTTATATAGAGCAGACGTTTTCTATTGTAGCACACGGCTAGCATATCCGGTATTTTTCATATCTGTGCTGACACAGTTCGTCTTCATTCTAGCGAAATAATCAAAGAGGATTACAATGAAACGTTACACAAAAAGACAGAGGTGGTTATCAAGCTGGAATTTTGCAACAGAAACATAGAAAAAGCTGGGGAAATGTGAGTATATAAATGCTCTTTTTTTAGAACGAATGCTGCATTCTGGGAAGGTCTGCATTTCTCATGTCATTGGATAATATCCAGTCTTAGTCTTGTTGAACAATAATGGGCATTTGCTACAGAATGACTCCACCCTGCTCACTGGCTGATTTTAGACAGTCACTTAATCTAACCTACCTCGCAAGGATATGGGGGGCGGGCAAAGCATGTATGCCACCTTGAGCTCCTTGGAAGAAAGGTGGGGTATAAATATAAAACATAAATAAAATAATTTTTGTTACCCTAAAATGTAGGTTAACTACATAAACTACTTTTAACTAGCCTTCAGCAAAACTGCTTTCAAGGTCTACAGAAATATCTCCATGCACATTTAGTGCTCAATTGTATACCCAGGTCTCAATATTTCAGGTGTTTGTGGATGTACTGTTCTGTTGGATCCAGAATAATTATTTTTATTTTATTTTGGCATATCACCAAATAGGGTTTTTTATTTTTATTTTTAACGATTATTTGATCATGCAAAACAGATCTGTGGGCCATTGTACGTAAGTTGACTTTGTGTGTCTTGTCTTCTGGCGAACAGATATCAAAATATGTATCAAAACAACCTGGCACCGTCAGAAGTGGATGAAATTTCAGACATACACTCCAAGCTGTTACGGGTAAGCATGTTAACATCGCAGCATTGCAGTACTTGAAATAAGGGTTTTTCTTGCAAATTCCTGGTATGTTTAGTGTTTTCCTGTAAAGGAAAACCACTTATTTTTTTAGCATGTTTGTTGAGCATGTTCATTAGCTGATGGTATTTTCTTCATATGAATCTATTTAGTGTATGTTTTATTTCTTTCCAATTTGGATGTGGAGAGATGTGAACAGTTTTGTGAAAATTGCTCAGATTTCTGGCTTGATATTTATGCATGTATGTGTGTAGAAGTGGCATACAGCAGAATTCTTGCGGGGAAAATAGCGAACCATGCTTTTTTCATATGCATGGATGTTCGCATGAAGAAACACGTCCCCCAAATGTGATGCTGAAGCAGTTTCACAACAGCACTGCAGGGAGATCAAACTAATACAGGTGTTGAGCATTCATGTGCTAGTGAAATATTCCAGTAAACTTTATCGCACACCCTAAAAGCAAAAATAAAAAGATCTCTTTCAATGTAGATGACTTTCTATTTTTGTGTCAGTGGTGTTTTGTGTATATTTACATTGACAGCAATGTAGGGATGTTGCCTGTAAGCCAAGATTCTTGGCAGCCAGTAGAAAGTCTCTCTTTCCTCCAATGCAAGGATGCTTAAAGTATGTTAAGGTGGACGTCTGTAAATTCTAGGAAATGTGGCTTGCCTTGCTGCTATTCTGAGGTGTTGCAGGTTTCTGGCCAATTTTCAGTCATTGAGACATTTTCAGCTATTCTAAAGTAACCAGGGTTTCTTTCTTTCTATATATACAGTCATACCTCAGGTTGCGATCGCTGTGGGTTGCACGTTTTCGGGTTACGGACGCGCCGAACCCAGAAGTACCAGAACGGGTTACTTCCGGGTTTTACATAGCAGAAAGTTCAGCACAAAGCACTGGTCCAATGTGGATTTCCCTCTTTGGAAACCTGCCTGGACTTCAGATATCACCTTATTTGTATCTGCCCATTCTTCTAGTCTCCCAAGAAGGAGCCTGGCATATAGTTTGGAGGCTACATCTAACAAACTAATGGGTCTATAATTGGCAGGGTTTTTCTTATCACCCTTTTTATATATTGGGGCAATTATACTCAACTTCCACCCTTCAGGTATGCGACCTGAGCTGTTAATGTATGAAAACAATTTTGCAAAAATGGGTGACCAGAAATCAGGTCTTATCTTATAGATCTCCATTGGGATCATGTCTTCTCCTGGAGTTTTATTAGCTAGTTGGCTTGCGATTAGCCTCTTAATCTGATTGGGCGTGACATCTGGCCATTCTGGCAGTTCTGATAACTGAGTATAGTAAACTTGTGGGGGTGGGTCAGGAGAACTTCCGGGTTTTGGTGCTTGCGCATGCGCAGAAGTGCCAAATCGCTCTTTGCGCATGTGCAGAAGCACCAAATTGCATCATGTGCTTGTGCAGACGCGGCGCTGCGGGTTGCGAACGTGCCTCCCGCATGGATCACGTTCACAACCCAAGGTTCCACTATAATTTTTATTTATTTTCCATTTAATTATATACATTCACATCATCATTTATATAAATTCACATCATCATCCACTTTACTGCCCTGGCTCTTTAGAGCCTATTGACTTCCTTCCCTCCTGCCCCATGGCTTTCAAAATTAACCTTTATATCATTGCATTTTGTACGTTTCCCAGTTCTAATTGCACTCATTACAAAATGACTCAAAATTTAAATAAATAAAGGTAGAAAATTTATCATTACAAGTCTTCAGACAACCCTGCTAGTGATGTTGATTGCTTGCAATAATCTTTCAAATATTGTATAAATTTACTCCAGTCCTTTTGGAATACTTGATCATGCTGGTTTCGGATTTTTCCTGTCAGCTTTGCCAGTTCTGCAAAGTCCATCATCTTCATCTGCCACTCTTATTTCATTGGTACTTCTTGTTGTTTCCATTTTGGGGCTAAAAGAATTCTTGCTGCAGTTGTTGCATACATAAACAATCTTTTATCTTACATTTATAAAAGATAAAAAGGTTTCTTTCTATATATGTTCCAAAACTCAGCTTTCAGCAAATTTTTGCTGGGTAAAGCTGAATTTCTTGCATTCGTTCAGCTTTCAAGTTCGCGGGGAACAATAGAGAGCAGTCTTCAGGATATCAAAAGCAAACTCTGTCCGAATGGCCTGCTGTCAGATGGCTGGACCAACCAGGAAGGCACGCACCCGAAAGACAGAAAGTGAGTGGCATTTCCACGTAAAGTTCTTACTGTGCTTCGTTTTCAAGTTCATGCATACTGGCATGTGTTAAATGATTTATATCTTTACTTTTTCTCTCCTAGCCCAGAAAGGTTGCAAGTCCTACTGAGTTCCATTACAGAAATTTATTATCAGTTCAAAAAAGACAAAGCAGAACGCCGTAAGTAATTTTAGTTTATTTTTAGTTGAGTTAAGTTAAGAGGTACTGCAGATTTGCCTCTTTACCACCTGAGGTGCATATTTTAAGACCCACCCTATTTTTTGTGACTGTAAGTTGTGATTGTAAACTGTTTTTTAATGTTTCATTTATTTTCAATTCTCATAGTTTAGGTTTAGGGTGAAGGGTGGGTAATAAATTGAAATGATAGTAATAATAAATAATAGTAATAACCAGTGCTTTTTTCCTGGGGGGCTGCTGGGGTACGCATACCCCTAAACATTTTGTGAATCTTAAGTTTGGCCTCATTGAGGGGCAGTATTTCAATATGAGTAGGAATATGAGAGTACCCTTAAACATTTATATATATTTTTTTTAGAAAAAAAGCTCTGGTAATAATAATGTTCCAAGTTAAAATGATCATGGACTAAGTATATGTGTACAGTGGTACCTCAGGTTACATACGCTTCAGGTTACAGACTCCGCTAACCCAGAAATAGTGCTTCAGGTTAAGAACTTTGCTTCAGGATGAGAACAGAAATCGTGCTCTGGCGGCGCGGCAGCAGCAGGAGGCCCCATTAGCTAAAGTGGTGCTTCAGGTTAAGAACAGTTTCAGGTTAAGAACGGACCTCTGGAATGAATTAAGTACTTAACCCGAGGTACCACTGTACAGTCGTATCTTGGAAGTCGAACAGAATCCGTCCCAGCAGTCTGTTTGACTTCCAAAATGTTCAGAAACAAAAGCGCTGCTTCTAATTGGCTGCAGGAAGCTCCTGCAGCCAATCGGAAGCCGCAGGAGCCTCGTCAGACATTCGACTTCCAAAGAATGTTTGCAAACCGGAACACTCACTTCCAGATTTGTGGCATTCGGAATCCAAGGTACGACTGTATTTGACTTGATGGGGGGGGTCATTGATTATAAAATCAATTTGTGTTTCAAACGGCGAGTAGAGAAAGCAATTCTGATCTGCCATTGCGCTGCCCAGAGGTCCATTTGTTCCCATGCAGGTCCTCCCTGGTTCTCACTGGGTCTTCTCCCCCCCCCCCCGACGATTGGCTTGAAATAATCATTCTTCTGTAGGCAGTAGAATTCATTGGGGTCCTTGTGTCCACACACAGACAGCTTCTCCAGTTTGCCCATGTGCCCTAGGACCCAACAAACTTCATGACCCCCTGAGCATTACTTTTGCTATCCAATTTCATTTTATTCATTTATTTTCCTTAGGACTTCCATATAACGAGGAACAAATCCACAAATTCGACAAGTAAGTCTTTTTAAAAAATTCTACAAATATTTTGGGTGAGGTTCAGCATCACACCAGTGGACACAAAATAACAAAATGAAAAACCAATATCTTTCTTTCTCTTTCCTTCCTTCCTTCCCGCCCATCTGGCTGGGTTTCACCAGCCACTCTGGGCGGCTCCCAACAGAATATTAAAAACACGATAAAACATCAAACATTGAAAATTTCCCTAAACAGGGCTGCCTTCAAATGTCTTCTAAAAGTCAGATAGTTGTTTATTTCCTTGACATCTGATGGGAGGGCTTTCCACAGGGCGGGCGCCACTACCGAGAAGGCCCTCTGCCTGGTTCCCTGTAACCTCATTTCTTGCAGTGAGGCAACCACCAGAAGGCCCTCGGAGCTGGATCTCAGTGTCTGGGCAGAACAATGGGGGTGGATACACTCCTTCAGGTACACTGGACCAAGGCCATTTAGGGCTTTAAAGGTCAGCACCAACACTTTGAATTGTGTGCTCTACTGCATACTCTTTCTACCATGTTGTCCCTCTTCAGTGTGCAGAGATACTGTTTTTAAGGTCCAGGCTTGTTAGAGGAATGGAATATTTGGGAGCAATATGACAGTATGGTTCTTATTTCTGTGCTGCAGGCAGAAGCTTTTTCTACATGCTACAAAAGCCATGACCTTGTTCAAGGAAGAATGCGTCACCAAGTACGAAGTTTTCTTTGACAAGGCAGAGGACTGGATGAGGCAAGATTCTTCGTTTCGTGTATCATTGAACTCTCTCGTATTGACACAAAAGCATGATTTTAAAACTGGTTTTCCTTTTCAGGAAGATGCTTCTTTTAAGAAAACAGTTAATGAATCTCAGAAAACTCTGCTTCGATATTGAGGAAGAGGTGTCGAAATATCAGGACTATGTAAATGAAGTAAGTGTTCTCCTTAATTACAGTCATACCTTGGTTTTCAAACAGTTTAGTTCTCGAACGTTTTGGCTCCCGAACGCCACAAATCCAGAAGTGACTTCCTGTTTGCAAACTATTTTTGGAAGCCAAATGTCTGACGTGGCTTCCGATTGGCTGCAGAAGCCGCACTTTGGTTTCCAGACATTTTGGAAGTTGAATGGACTTCCGGAATGGATTCTGTTTGACTTCCAAGATACGACTGTATAATTTGTCAGTATTTTAAAGAGGGATAGTCAAAAGAGGAATAAGTGCTTTGCAGAAATTCATAATAACCTGCACAGATTTTCCCCCCCTTAAAATTTATTGCATACACAGGGTGTCCCAACATTGCTCCATTAACACTGTAATCCTATGCATGCTTATTCAGAAATAAGCCCTATGGAGTACAGTGGAGCTTGCTCCCAGGTAAATGTGTTTAGGGTTGCAATATAAAATTACTAGAGCTCAGTGGTTGTCTTACTGTGAGAAATGTATTAAGGAAGAGAACAATTATCATAAACATTTCAATTTAGAAAAGATTGACTCCATTCCAGATGTACCAAGCAATTTCTGCTGCCAGCTTTGATCATCTGTGGACAGGGGGAAGATTGCTTGGAGTTCATTGAAATTAGGCTCTAGGGCAGCGGTTCTCAACCTGTGGGTCCCCAGATGTTGTTGAACTACAACTCCCATCATCCCTGAACTCTGGCCTTGCTAGCTAGGGGTGATGGGAGTTGTAGTTCAACAACATCTGGGCACCCACAGGTTGAGAAAGGCTGCTCTAGGGCCACAGGCCTCCCATCCCTAACATATAAGATCTCTTTCCAAAAAAACATTGCCCCCCCTTTTTATTAAGTCCACCAGAGGAGCATTGAAAAGCTAGACAGGATTTATTTGCCGCAGAATCCAGAACAATTCACTCTCTTTGATAACCAGAATGCCCAAAACTTGCCAATTCTTTAGATCTCTAAAAAAGCTTCGAGAACAAGAGGAAAATTAACATTGTATAGGTAATCCTTATTAGATGTTATATTTGTGCCTAAATACCTTCCCAGTTTAGATAGCCAGCTAATAGAACTCCTTTGTAGTGTAGTCTTCACAGTTCCATAAATTCTGTTTTGTTAACATTGGACTTACTGTACATCTGGAAAACTTACTAAATAGAGTTATGCAACTACAGACTTCAGGAATTGACTAATGAGGGTCCCGCAGTGCTGTCAGGGTAGCACTGTTAGTCAAGGTGGGGTGAAGGGGGAGGCGCGGTTGGTCTTCTTAAGTCTCTTGGAGCAAGCACATGCTCTTTTCAACTCTTGGGTACCAAATATCATCCCTCGAATCCAGTGAGTATTTATTAGAAATATGTCTCCTGTTTTTTCTTATTAAGATGGGCTTTGTGTATTTTATTACAGTTACAAGAAAATTTGCCCCAAAAGATGTTTGCGGCTTCCGGTGGGATCAAACATACAATTAACCCAGTTTATCCAAGTTCAAACACTTTGGTAGAAATGACTCTTGGGTAAGAATTTCTCACCTGGATGAATGCAATGCTTTTTAACCTGCTTTTCACAGAACTACTTTAAATGCCAAGCTGTTGTTAGGATTGTTATTTTTTATTATTTGAAGCCCACCCATCTGACTGGATTCCCCTGGGCATAGTCACATTTGAAAGTTGACATCAAGCTTTATTAGTTTTTTTTTTAACCCAGGGGTGGCTAATCTGTGCCTCCTTCCAGATGTTGTAGTCCAACTCCCATCATCCCTGACCATTGCACTGTTGGCTATTTGCAGTTTAGTTGCGCTGCAGAAAGCTTGCTGGGGAGACCACACATTACAAGGAACTCAAAAATAAATTTAACAAGGTTTTAATAACAAAAACAAAAAATCCTTTTACATTAAATATGTCAACAAGCATGACCCAACCACCAACCCATCCCCCGGGGTACTGAGAGAGCTAGTGCTGCTCTTTATATACTATACCCAATTGCTGACACAGCTTAATTAACACAATTTAGCAGCACCTGCTATACTGCTTCACAGCTGTAAAACTGGGTCTCGTTATTGGAACATTATTGTGGAACAATAATGAACCTTCACATTTAAAGAAACCATTCAACATGCACATGCAGGCTGAGGCTGAAGGTACTAGTGGTCAAGCAACATCTGGAGGACCAAGATGGCATGGTTCTAGAAACAGTATTGCCACGCAACATTTGTGTTTCTTATTCTTGTATCAGCTGTTCTTATGGTGCTGCCATCACTAGCCCTGTTTGGTGTTTTTACAAAAATCCTTCATGGAGTAAGAATCGCATAAAGGAGAGTAGGGACAAGGGCAGTTGTTTCCTTCCTCTCCCTCTTCTCCAAACATCTGCCATGGGGAGACTTTCCTACTCATGTAGGCAGTGTTGGAAAACGCCCTGGGGCCGCCTGCAAACCCCCGGAACTCCAAGCATCCTCTGATGTGTGCAGCACTGGAAAAGGCATCTCCCTTCTTCTCCAGGGTGCTCCAGCAACATATATCAGCTTGATATATGCACACTAATCTTCTGGCATAACACAGTAAGAAGAATAAATCTACTATTTATTAACATATGGTACCTCAGGTTTCATACGCTTCAGGTTACAGACTCCGCTAACCCAGAAATAGTGCTTCAGGTTAAGAACTTTGCTTCAGGATGAGAACAGAAATTGTGCTCCGGCGGGCGGCAGCAGCAGCAGGAGGCCCCATTAGCTAAAGTGGTGCTTCATGTTAAGAACAGTTTCAGGTTAAGAACGGACCTCCGGAACGAATTAAGTACTTAACCCGAGGTACCACTGTACTATATACAGACTACAGCATAATGGTATCTGTTCTCTCCAGTTCCGAGAGAACGACAAAAATGAAAGTACATTACAAAGTACATACAGGGGAAGAGTCTTCTCCCACAGTCTTCTCAGACAGGCATGGGATTCACACCAGTCACATCTGCAGCATCGGCTGCAGGAAATACTAACAGTTGGCAGGGTGGATTTGATTTAAATCATTTTTTTAACAGGAAGACTCATTCTTGCTGGTATGATTTTAATATTTACAACCAGATGAAGGTTTTATTTTTGTAATAATAAATTTCCAGAGTAGTTTTTACAGTTATATAAAAAATATTGATTTGGGTATACTATTAGAAATACATATAGACAGATAATTATGGAATTATTGTGAGGTTTAATAAGTTAACTGTTTATATTTGGACAACTTTTCTGCTGTACTTTATTGGAAGGAGAAAGGCAGCCCTGTTTAGGGAAGCTTTTAATGTTTGATGTATTTTAATATTCTTTTGGAAACCGCCCAGAGTGGCTGGGGAAGCCCAGCCAGATGGGCGGGGTATAAATAAATTATTTTATTATTATTATTATTAGTAGTATAGTAGTATATTAATATCATTTCCTTAATAACAATAACATTATAGCATATATATCCATGTTTGTTAACTGATGTGGTTAAACAATTTAAAAAAAAACTTAGACTTAGTTTTAGCACACAATAAAAACTTAAAACAAATCCTTATTTCCTGATGAATAGCCTTTGGACTATAATGTAACTTAAATAGAAAACTATCTTTAGAACGATTTTCCCTCCAAAAGCATTTTATTTTAAAAATCCAATTTAAATTTTAAAAAAAAGTTTTTTTTAAAAAAACACAACTTAAAACATCATTGATTTTTATCCTCCCTGCATGTAGGCTCCTCATGTGATTTAGAACTCTGGAAGAGCCTAGTATTTAATGAGCCTAGCTGAAAGTTGCTCTTTAAATAGTCGTCCTCTTTAAATAGTAATTATACACAGTTTGGGTGTCTTTTAGAAAAATCTGTTTCACTTCCAGATTAAAGAAATAGCCAGTAGTTTTATAAAGATTTTTAACTGAGAATTAAGCATGTTACAGTGCATTCCTTTTCTTTCTTTCTTTTAAACTTTCAGCATGAAGAAACTGAAAGAAGAAATGGAAGGTGTCGTTAAAGAATTAGCCGAGAATAATCACCTTTTGGAAAGGTAAGTTGGCGTTTTAAGGAACTTTGTTTGGCAGGAAGCATATTCGGTAAACACGTAGCTGTGCATCTCTTTGAGAATTTCTTGTGCACGTGAAGAGGGTTGGCCCATGGCTTGCAGGAGACCCATGCTTCAAAGTGGCGTCTTGTGTGCAACCAGAAGCAAAGGAGCCACTTCTACATGGTGCTTTCCCACCCTGCAGAGACGCATGTGTGAATTCTGTGCAGAGATGCTTGAGTGTTTCCCATGTAATTGCCATCCCACCAGGAAGGAGAGAGTTAGGAATGACCAACACAGTGGACCCTTCCACTGTACTCACAGAAATGCGCTCCTTGTGATGAAAGGCATGTGGGTGGTGCTGTGGTCTAAACCACTGAGCCTCTTGGGCTTGCCAATCGGAAGGTCGGTGGTTCGAATCCCCGTGACAGGGTGAGCTCCCGTTGCTTGGTCCTAGCAGTTCGAAAGCACACCAGCGCAAGTAGATACATAGGTAATGCTGTGGCAGGAAGGTAAGCGGCGTTTCTGTGCACTCTGGTTTCCGTCACAGTGTTCCATTGCACCAGAAGCTGTTTAGTCATGCTGGCCACATGACCTGGGAAGCTGTCTGTGGACAAACACTGGCTCCCTCGGCCTGAAAGCAAGATGAGCGCCGCAACCCATAGTCGCCTTTGACTGGACTTAACCATCCAGGGGTCCTTTACCTTTTTTAAAAAAACACACACACCTCATTTTGTACTTCCAGATGCACTCCTTGTGGTGCGTCTTAAAGACTTGTTCGATTCAAGCCAGTGGGCTTGATCCAGCTAAGTCAGTTGAACTCTGATCCCATAGAAATCGACAGAATGAGTTCATTCCACTTCACTGCAGCACGATCACTCCATACTGTGTACCAGAGACAGCATTAAATGCTATGATTGTGGTTTTTTTTGTTTAGGTTTGGTGCTTTGACGATGGATGGTGGCCCAAGGAATGTGGATTGTATTTAGCTGGACATTTACCACGACGCAATCTGAATTTGCACAGAAAGAGCATTTATCCATTGAAAGAGTTTTCTGAACTTGGCATTCCCCCTCAGTATTTAATAAAAGCATGTAAATATGTACATAATGTATATAATAGAAAGTATATTTCTTTTGGTAACGTTACAAGTGGTCTTAAAATTTGGAGTAACATCAGAACTTTCCCCCGTGTGAAATAATGACGGCTGCATATTGTGGTGAGCACATCGACGCAATGCATTTGCTTCAAATGCTGTCCTTGCCTGTTTACTTGTGAATGTTGCTAGAGAAACTGGTCTTGGAAAAACCCTACTTCATTTTTGTCAAGGAGATTGGGCTTCCCCTTAAGTCACCTGAATGCACAGTACCTCATTTATGATCCTCTGAAATTGTTTCCTGCTGTCTTTCATTGTGAGCAGATGTCTCTTACAAAGTACAAAAAAAAGAGACAGGGAAAAGTGTGATTACCTCTTGAAAAAGTATCTCTCTTAACTAATGGTGAAGGAAATATTTTTGAGTTTGTAATCATGTTCAGTTTGAGTATATATAATCTGCCAGATTTAAAAGCACATATAAATTGAATCTTCTATTTGCTAAATCAGCAGGTGACGGAAAAGCTGTAACACGTCTCAAAATCAATGAGCCTTGTTAATTAATTCTTACTGGCATTTTTTAAAAAAACCAAACATTCAATTTCAAAAGTAGCATTTACTTTCTTACATGCTAAACATTGAGTCTGGTGTGGACCATATACTGGTTTCTAATCTTCGTCAATTCTACTAAAGTAGGAGAATTCTTTCCTTTTTTTAGTAAAGCTATTCTGAAGCGTTTGACACTGAGGTAAAACATTGGCACAGGTGTTTATGCAGTTGCCTTGGAAAGGGGGATCCCTGAAGAGTTGGCACTTTCCTCACTCACTGAAAGTGCCTTGGCACAGCTCATCAACCTCATTCAGCACAGAGGCCCAAAATTTAGTTCAGCATTTGATAAGCTATCATGGGGAGGAGGTAGTAGAGAAGTGAGCTTCTGCTAGCTTCCTTACACTGTGTTTATTTATTTTTTTAATTCAGCATACATGCACACATACAAAAACAATCTAATCCAGTCTTACTGACTTTAGTGGAACTTATTTTCCAACTTGTCTAGAAAGTAAGGCTGCTGTTCTCAGCCAGAGTATTCTGGATGAGTTCTAGGAGAGACCCAATTGATCTGAGACTATTCTAGATTTCTGTGGCTTGAGGCCATCGTAGGATACTTCATTTTTTAAAATCAAATTTCTAATCAACTCTACCTTCTGTCTCCTCCATTCTGACATGCCAGAATAGAAATAAAAATCATCCGTCTCTACATAGTCTCAAATGGATAAAGAAATATTATTTCACTGTTGCAGCTCTTATTTTCATTACCACGTTTCCAATAACCTAGTTGGAAGGACTACTGAAATCATAGGTAGTAAATCTATGTGAAATTTTGCTGCCTTATTGTATGTAAATGTCTATTCTGAAATGCTGAGATTATATTTCTGTAATGTGTTTACTTTATGCTATCGTTTTCTGTTTTACAGAATCATCATTTTGCATAATCGTGTTTACTCTATAACATAATTTTTGAAGGGAGGAAATGGAGAAGGGTCGATTTTTCTTCCATATACTGAAACCAGTTTTAAACGAATAGTGTAAATCATGGATGACAGCCTTTTATGTTGCTGAAGGCACTTCTGCCACATTCTCCCATCCCTTCAGAGTTCCTTCCTTTCTATTAGTCTCATTTTATTTTATTTTTAAGGATTTTGCTAACTTTCTATGAAGTTTCAGACTAACGGGGAGGGGCAGTGTTTTATTTGATTAAAATACTTTAAAAAAGCTTTTCTTCTGGGCTTTTCTTTTTTTGGGGGGGGCGGGTTCTCCCAGCTGCCCAAGAACAAATTGATAGCTTTCTATCATTTATGTTTATGTGCATACGACACACTAAAATAAGAAACACCTTTATAGGACTGAGAATTCTAATCCGTGGTAGCCATGGTGAAAATTGAAGCAGTACAGTCTATTCTGGATTAATCTACATTGCTTTTGTCTCTGCCCCTGCTTACAGCCCCCAACAGATTACATTACAGGGTACGCAGCACTCAAGAGAAAAAAGGTCCTGTTCCCCCTTCCTCCATGTAAATTATTAAGATAAGTTGTAAACAATATGACATATACCAGCTTGCTTTTTTGTAGTGTTCAATATTTTGCATTGTGTTTTCATATTAATTTGTAGAGGGAACTCTACCATTCTTAGTCTGTATAGTAATTCTATCGGCAGCGGCTGTGGGTCTTGCGAAAATTCTCTTCAAATCAATGTACCACAAGTTAAGCAGCAGCATGAGAAATAAATCTCTTTTCACACTTCTAATTCATTGTCCTTGATATGATGAATTGCTGATCTTGGTACGTAAGCAATGTACATCATTGGACTTCAAGACTGGATACTCACAGTGTTACAGAACATTGTTAAGAGTGTGTGGAAGATAATGGGTTGAAAGAAATAATTTTAAAAAAAACAAGGTATGAGCAGTTGGTTGCTGAAGTTGGTTGCTAGTTCCCAGTTCCTTATTTGGTTGAAAGTTTAAAACACTGAAAAAAGAAGAAAAGTTAATATGTTCTGAACTCCGAAGTAAAGTAAGTATGTCCCTGAATTGCAAAATAATATTTGGGATACCCTACATGATATATAGCGTACAGCTTCCACTTCTGACGAACCAGAGCAGCGCATGAAAATGCCGTTTACCTTCCCACTGGAGTGGTACCTATTTATCTACTTGCATTTTGACGTGCTTTCGAACTGCTAGGTTGGCAGGAGCAGGGACCGAGCAACGGGAGCTCACCCCGTCGCAGGGATTCGAACTGCCGACCTTCCGATCGGCAAGCCCTAGGCTCTGTGGTTGAACCCACAGTGCCGCCCACTTAGGTCACCACAAATAATAAAACCATGCATCTGTTAGGACCTTGTTTCTCAACTGAGGTCCACGTGGCTCCCTGGGGGCCCCCAGGATATTCCACAGGTGAAAATCACTTAAATGGGGGGGGCATGGCACAAGACTAGGGGGCCACAGAGGAAAGTGAGGAATGAAGAAAACACAGAAGTGACCTAGAAAATAAAACAACCAAATTGCATTCCATTTTCTGATATTCGTTCTTTATCTTAGTCTTGCATCTACAATATGACTGAAACTAGCGTTTGTCTTCAACAAGTCTTGGGAACCAGTCTGCCTGAACGTTGCCACATCCTACATTTTTAAACTCTCCAATTCCATCATAGAAATTCCAGTCATTTGTCTTTCCAATATTCTGCAAAGAAACAAAGGGCTAGCCAGTGTTCTAAGTTATCACTGAAAAAAGATTTTTTTAAAAAGTTGTACATTTCATTTTTAATTTAAGATAACGAATTTAAAAATATAAGAAGACACCTTTTCTAGATAAGACTAAAGACCCATCAAGTCTATTATCCTGCTTTCACAGTGTAGAGTACGGATCTAGCCAAGAATTAAGATCTTAATTGAATAAACAACACATGAAGATACATCTCTCAGGGTATTATGGGACATACTCAGTATCTTAAATCATGATGGGGGGATTATAGGAAGTTTATGAGTTTAGTAAACAATCTAGCTGTTGAGATACAAAACATCCCTAACTTTTATTATGATTTCAGTGGTCCTTGGCTTCCCAGTTGCATTGAAATACTTTGCTCCGACATGCCTTCTGGCTTCCATGCAATATAGTGAAAACTAGGAAACAGTATTTCTGTTGGATATCTGTCTCTTATATTTAAACAGACACAGACAAAAGAATATCTGTGGAAATGTTTGCTTTGTCCTAGGACACATTGACACAGGAAATACAATCTATCAAGATTCAGACTGGAAAAAGGCAGTAAGTTAAAAATATCTGAAAGTGGGGGTCTAAATATCTTACATGTTTTAGTATGGAGGAGTGAAACATAAATATCTCCTGAAACATCAGTACTATGCACTGTGTTACACAAATGTTTTTAAGTCATTTTACAATTTTGATGCAACATCTTTGTTCCTATAACATTTTGTGTGCTGTTCTGTCTGGATTTAGCCAAGAAAATGTCAATTTAAACGAGATAGCTGGAGGCAACAAACTCTAAACAGGAGCAAATGTTAAAAATATGGGCATGCTTTTCAATTGGACACTGTTTTGTTTAATGAGAATAGTGTAATTATCTAAAAGCAGAATGAAAATATAAGCATGACTGTTGCACAGATTCATCATTCTTATCTATATATAAAAGCATGTCATTTATTTATAGACTTTCATTTTGAGGTGCCAAAAGTAAGCCACTACTGTATATATTTTATTCATTTGTTGGATTTCAGTGTCAGCAAAAGTGATTTGTTAGAGCCTGATCCTAAGACTGCATATTGGGAACTTTAGCATAGATACTGGCAGTACAGTTTAGAATCAGAAAAGGATTTATTTTCAAATAGACATGTTAGTAACAGAGCACCTCATTCTAAATAGTAACAATATCAAGGTATCTTTATAATTCATCACCCACTTCATAAGTTTGTGGGAAGAATGCTCTATTGATTTGATTAACGGATTTCTGTAAGGAAAACACCTGTTTAATGTTGGGATCATATATAACCTGAGAAAAATACTACAGGAAATGGTTTTTTAAACAGCATTTTTGTAAAGATACTGATGAATTCCTCTCACTGTACTACCATACAGTTTGGTTATAGTAATGTGACTGTATATAAAGATAGAGATCTCTAGTTTACTAAATGTAGATGAGAGGATTTAGGACCAACAGGTGGCCTTGAGACATGCTGGCTGAAGTTCTATTCACGGCGATCTTATGGGGTTGTGGGTATTTGAGGCTTTTTCCTTCCTTCTTGCACTTCTGTGCAGTTACCTCAAGAGCAGTCGGCTGACTTTAGCTATGGCAATAAGAAACGACTTCAACAAAACCATTAGAAGGATAGCACAGTTTTTTTATTGGTTCCCCAAATCACTGGGTAGCCCAAGGAGGAGAAAAATCAAGCTTCTTTGCACATCTTCTGGTAAGTTTATCTTTTCCTCTTCTCTGCAATGAACTTAAATTGAGAAGTTATGTATTCTTAACAAGACTAAAACCCTTTCTCCCACAGTTTTGTGATGAGTGTTGTAGCAGAAAGAAATTAGTCTGTGTCAAGTTGCTTGAAGCACATCTAAGGGTCTGAGCAGGCCTACTAGAATTTTTACTCTTCGAACCAGCACGTTTCCACTGATAGATAGATAATAAGCAGCTTAATATTTTTTTAAAAATCTAAGCAGTATACAACATGAACACTGTAACAATTTCATTAAAACAAAAATACAACAGTAAAGCTGTAGTATGGAAGCATATTAAAAAACCAGGTTCAGCAAATTTATACAGAGAAAATTGACTGATCTTATGGATTAGGGAAAGCCTGGGCAAAAAGATACACTTATTTACAAGATGTCTGAAGTTGCTGCTTCACAAATGGCAGAGATAGAGAAAGAGAAGAGCTCCTCATTGAGTTTGAATAGAGACTTGAAAGCTGTTCTTTAGGGAACACTTGTGCCAAGCAGCAGTGGGTACATGGGCTCGTCGTGCTCCTGTCTGAATTCTGATCACATGCATTATTTTGAGATATATTCTTAAAATATTGCTTTGGTGGATTAAGGCCATCTGCTCTAGCATTCAGCTTCACGTGGCAGCCAGCAAGATTTGTATGGAAGCTAATAAGGAAGGAAGGAAGGAAGGAAGGAAGGAAGGAAGGAAGGAAGGAAGGAAGAAAGAAAGATATCTTCCAGCATCTTGGAGCCAGGGATACATTGCTTCTACAAGCAATGGCCATTCCCGAGTTTGCCTAATCCTTTACTTGATCCATCAAAGTTTGTGGCTACCACCACATCTTTTGCGAGTCAATATCATTCATTATACATTTGGTCAACATAGCCTGTCCTGAACCTACCATCAGGTGACCCCAGGTGCTATCATGAGAGAAGGAGAGAAATGCCTTCCTCACTATGTTTTACACGTTGTTAATAATTTTAGAAAACCCATTTATTTATGTATTAAACGTATATCAAGCCTTTCCTCCCAAAGGAGCCCAGAGTGGGAAACACATCAGCATTAAAGCAAGAACAATTAAAAACAGCACAGCGATGCATTCAAAACATTCACAAATGACGGCATACTTTCACAGCTAGTAATTTCAAGGTTGCAGGAGCAGAAAGGCTCAGTCATCAAACGCTTTTCAAATTCTTTCTGACAGTTCATAAAGAAAAGTACAGATGCCCTTCACCGAGGAGGCAGGATTCCAAAAATGGGGAGCAGCCACCAAGAAGGCCCTGTCTTGGGTCAATGCTAACAAAGGGACACCACCAGCAGTAGCACCAACAGGGCCTCCCATGGCAATCGTAGAGCCTGAGATGGTTGATATTGGGGAAGGCACTCTTTTAGGGTCTCAAGCCATTTAAGGCTTTGCATGCTAGTAATAACACTTTGATTTGTGGTGGCTTCCTGGCAGCCACTGCAGTGCTTTCAGGACCAGTGATACATGCTTCTATCAGGCTGATCCACTTATCTGTCTAGCAGCTACATTGTGTGCTAGCTCCAGCCTCTGGACCATCTTAAAGGGCAGCCCCAGGGAGATCACATTGCAGCAATCCAGGCAGGAGGTCACCAGAGCACAGACAAGTGAGGCCAGGCTATGCTAGTCCAGGAATGGCAAAATATTCCTAGCCACAAAAGCAGCTTAAGATTCCAGTGACAAGTTAGAATCCAGGACTACTCCCAAACTACAAACCTATTCCTTCAGCAACCTCTCCCAGAACAGGCCCCCCTAATTCCTGGGCATGGGAACAGCCCATTCACAGCACCTCCATTTTATCAGGATTCAGCCTCAGTGTCTTGGCCCCTGTCCAGCCCATCACTTCTTCCAGACAGTGGTCCAACACTTTCTCCGCCTCTCCTGATTCTGATGGAATGGAAAAACCAAGTTGTTTGTCACCAGAGTTTAAGAATTTACTGGATTCACATCTTCTCCCCTCCTGCCCACAGTGTCAAGCAATTTCTCCCACTATGAAATGGCACTGCATGTATGAAGTATTATACCACACCCTAAGTTGTTGTTGTTGTTGTTGTTGTTGTTATTCTGACTGGGTTGCCCCAACCACTCTAGGTGGCTCCCAACAAAATATTAAAATCGCAGTAAAACATTAAAAAATTCCCTGAACAGGGCTGACCTCAGATGTCTTCTAAAAGTCAAATAGTTATCTCTTTGACATCTGCTAGGAGGGCGTTCCACAGGGCAGGTGTCACTATCGAGAAGGCTCTCTGCCTGATTCCCTGTAACTTCACATCTCACAGTG